CAGACCACCTTTGCATTCAAGGACAAGGACAGAAGAGGACCTATTTCAATCCTTGTCGCGGCGCCGGACGGGCGCTTCGACCGCCGAGACTGAAGGGGAAAATCATGAAGTCGAACGGCTGATGTCCAGGATGTTTGGAAAGGCACGTCAACAGCACAGCGAGGAGGAAAATACACGACACTCGGGCGTGGTTTTCCGAAATCTCACGGTCAAGGGCGCAGGTCTCGGCGCAAGCCTGCAGCCCACCGTCGGCGACATTTTTATGACACTGCCTCGGTTCCTCAAGAACCTGCTCACCAAGGGTCCCAGAGCCGCCACGGGAAAGCCGCCCGTAAGGAACCTCCTCGACAGTTTCGATGGCTGCGTGCGGCCCGGAGAAATACTTCTGGTACTAGGAAGGCCAGGTTCAGGGTGTACAACATTTCTGAAAGCCTTCTGCAACCAGAGAGCAGGCTATGTAGACGTCCTAGGGGATGTCAAGTACGGAGGAACCGATGCGAAGACCATGGCAAAAGACTTTAGGGGCGAGATCATCTACAACCCGGAAGACGACCTACACTATGCAACACTATCCGTCAGGCGCACCCTGACCTTTGCGCTGCGCACGCGAACACCAGGAAAAGAGTCGCGATTGGAGGGCGAGAGCAGGAGTGACTATGTCCGGGAGTTCCTACGCGTTGCGACTAAGTTGCTCTGGATCGAGCATACACTCGACACGAAAGTCGGCAACGAGCACATACGTGGAGTGTCTGGCGGTGAGCGTAAGCGCGTCAGTATCGCAGAGGCTCTCATCACGCGTGCCAGTGTCCAAGGGTGGGACAACTCCAGCAAGGGTCTCGATGCCGCCACTGCGGTCGAGTATGTCCAGGCACTTAGGACCTTGACAAATATGGCCCAGGTTTCGACGGCTGTCTCGCTTTATCAGGCTGGTGAAAGCCTGTACAAACTCGTCGACAAGGTGCTCCTCATCGACGAGGGCCAGTGTCTGTACTATGGCTCCTCCGATGATGCGAAGCAGTACTTTTCAGATCTAGGCTTCGATTGTCCACCACGCTGGACCACGGCCGACTTTTTGACCTCCGTTGTCGACCCACACGAGCGCAGTATTCGTCCGGGCTGGGAAGATCGAATTCCGCGGTCGGCAGAGGATTTCGCCGCCGTGTACAAGAGGAGCGAGGCATACCAGAAGAATCTCAGGGATATCGAGCAATTTGAGGCTCAGACGGTCGAGCAGCAAAAGCAAATCAGCCAGAACTCAACAAAGGCGAGCAAGAGGAAGAACTACACTATACCGTTTTACCAACAGGTCATTGCACTCACCCAGCGCCAATTTCTCGTCATGATCGGCGACAAGGCGTCTTTGTTTGGCAAATGGGGAGGTATTGTTTTTCAAGGTCTGATCGTTGGTTCTCTCTTCTTCCAGCAGCCCGACACGACAGCTGGTGCCTTTACACGAGGCGGTGTACTGTTCTTCATCCTCCTATTCAACGCCCTATTGGCACTCGCAGAGCAGACGGCTGCCTTCGAATCCAAGCCCATCCTGCTCAAGCACAAGACTTTCTCCTTCTACCGCCCTTCCGCCTACGCTCTCGCCCAAACCGTCGTCGATGTGCCCCTGGTCGTGATACAGGTGGTGATATTCGACGTGATCATTTACTGGATGTCGGGTCTCGCCGCCACAGCTTCGCAGTTCTTCATATCTCTTTTGATCCTATTCTCTGTAACAATGGCGACTTACAGTTTCTTCCGCGCGTTGTCGGCTATCTTCAAGACCCTCGACGACGCCACCAAGGTCACTGGTGTTTTCATCCAGATTCTTGTGGTGTATACTGGCTATCTTATTCCACCGTCGTCAATGCGCGTTTGGTTCAGCTGGCTTCGTTGGCTAGACTGGATCCAATACGGTTTTGAGGCCCTCATGTCTAACGAGTTCTATGACCTGGATATGGACTGCGCCTCATTAGTGCCACAAGTCCCGGGAGCTCAGACGCAGTACCAATCCTGTACGCTCCAGGGGTCTACGCCGGGATCGTCCGTCGTTAATGGTGCCAATTACATTAAGCAGAGCTACACGTATACAAGAGCGCACCTGTGGCGGAACTTCGGGTTCATCTGGGCCTTCTTTGCCTTGTTCTTGGCCATCACCATGTTTGGTATGGAGATAATGAAGCCCAACGCAGGAGGTGCTGCTGTCACGGTTTTCAAGCGCGGCCAGGTGCCAAAGTCGGTAACGGACTCCATCGAGACTGGTGGGCGCAAGGGCAACTCCTCGGATGAAGAGTCAGGTACAGCCAACGCGGATGCAGGCATTGGTTCCGAGAAAGACATCGTCAAGGAACGAGAGGAGCAAGACCAGAGGGCCATGCAGAAGGTGGCCAAGAACGAGACAATTTTCACTTTCCAGAACGTCAACTACACCATCCCGTTTCAGGGTGCTCACAGGAAACTGCTCGATGGTGTTCAGGGTTTCGTACGACCAGGCCGCCTGACAGCCCTGATGGGTGCTTCAGGAGCTGGCAAGACAACCTTGCTGAACACACTTGCTCAAAGGTAAGCATCATCCCAGAGCCACAAATCCTTGCCGATGCTAATACCACAGTCAGAATCACCTTCGGCACGGTTACTGGCGATTTCCTCGTCGATGGCAGGCCTCTACCTAAATCGTTCCAGCGAGCTACAGGCTTCGCTGAGCAGATGGACATCCACGAGCCGACTGCCACTGTTAGAGAAGCTTTACAATTTTCAGCCCTCCTCCGTCAGCCCCGAGAAGTTTCCAAGGAGGAGAAATTCGCCTACTGCGAGACAATTCTCGATCTTCTCGAGATGCATGACATTGCCGGCGCAACCATCGGCCAAGTTGGCGAAGGTCTCAACCCCGAACAGCGGAAGAGACTGACCATCGGTGTTGAGCTTGCATCTAAGCCAGAACTTCTGCTCTTCCTCGATGAGCCGACCTCGGGTTTGGATTCTGGTGCCGCATTCAACATTGTGCGGTTCCTCCGCAAGTTAGCTGATGCTGGCCAAGCTATCCTCTGTACTATCCATCAGCCCTCTGCAGTTTTGTTCGAGAATTTTGATGAACTCGTCCTCCTCAAGTCTGGTGGCCGCGTTGTCTATGCCGGAGAACTCGGCAAAGATTCCCAGAAATTGATCCAATACTTCGAGTCCAACGGCGGACACAAGTGCCCACCTGAAGCCAACCCAGCGGAATGGATGCTGGACGTCATCGGCGCTGGCAATCCGGACTACAAAGGTCAGGATTGGGCTGACGTCTGGGCAGGCTCTCAGGAACATGAGGCGCAGTCCCGTGAGATTGCCGAGATCAACGAGAAGCGCAAGTCCGTCGAGCAGTCTAAGAACATACAGGATGATCGCGAGTATGCCATGCCCTTGACGACACAGATAAATGCCGTTGTCAAGCGCTCCTTCGTGAGCTACTGGCGGAAGCCCAACTACATCATGGGCAAGCTGATCCTCCACATCTTCACCGGCCTGTTCAACTGCTTCACGTTCTACAAGCTAGGATACTCCAACATCGACCTGCAGAGCCGGCTCTTCTCCATCTTCATGACCCTGACCATCTCCCCACCCCTGATCCAGCAGCTGCAGCCCGTCTTCCTCGCCTCGCGCAACATCTTCCAGTCCCGCGAGAACAACGCAAAGATCTACTCCTGGTTCGCCTGGACCACCGCCGCCATCCTCGTCGAGATCCCCTACGCCATCATCGCCGGCGGCATCTACTTCAACTGCTGGTGGTGGGGCATCATGGGCTGGCGTAGTTCATACCACGGCTTCCCCTCGGGCTTCACCTTCCTGTGCGTCCTCCTCTTCGAGCTCTACTACGTCGGCTTCGGCCAGGCCATCGCCGCCTTCAGCCCCAACGAGCTTCTGGCCAGCCTGCTGGTCCCGGTGTTCTTCCTCTTCGTCGTCTCCTTCTGCGGCGTCGTCGTCCCCGCCGCACAGCTCCCTTACTTCTGGCGCAGCTGGATGTACTGGCTCACCCCCTTCCACTACCTCCTCGAGGCGTTCCTGGCCGTGGCCATACACGACCAGCCGGTCCAGTGTGCCGACAAGGAGTTCGCGCGCTTCTCCCCGCCGCCGGGACAGTCCTGCGATAGCTACGCCGCCTCGTACGTCTCTCAGGCGGGTGGGTACTTGCAGACTGCGTCGGACGGGAGCGGTATATGTGAGTACTGCCAGTACGCAACGGGGGACCAGTTCGGCGCGAGTTTCAGTGTGTATTACTCGCACATATGGAGGAACTTTGGCATCGTTTGTGCTTTCATTGTTTTCAACTACTTTGTGGTCTATTTTGCTACTTTCTTGAGGTTCAGGGGCAAGAACCCCCTCAAGGGTGTGTTGGCAAAGATTAAGGCTAAGAAATAGATCTTGGCCGGTTGGTATTGGGCATAATAATGTTTTTGGGTACGTATAGTATAGATCGCATCTCATGAGGCCTAGACGGGTTGGAAATACGAAAGAAATCGAGGTTGGGGCGGATATATGGAGGTCAATCTAGAAGGAAAAAAGGGGAGGACATATGTAGAAATGAAAATCCAAAACAAAGACGTTACAAATATATCTAGCCAAGATGGATTGTATACATAATTAGGATAATTGTAGTGTACAATACAACACAAGGAAAGAGATTATCTCTACCAGACTGGTCTCATCTCCAAAAGTATAGAAGCTGTAGGCTTAGACATTCAAAGAAAATCTAGCATCAGGCGGTGTCTAGAGTACCCCAGAACGTGAGGTGCGCAGGTAAAATATCAGACATCGATATCGCGTTATTATTCAACTGGCTAACTCCTGAGAGTTGTGTTTTTTCCTTTGTCCGACCGCTTTGCATCACATCGCAAAAATCATAAGCTCCTCTCATCTTGATTTTCAGGCAAAGTCATTAGAGTGCCCCAAATCTGTGATCTATATATTCAGCGATGTAGGGTACCGCTGGTTCATGGGGAGGGATGGCAAAAAAGCAAAAGTGAATGTTGATGAGGTCGTATTGGGAATCGAACCCAAATTGCCAGAATCAGAATCTGGAGTGCTAACCATTACACCATACAACCAATTGAATGAAAGAGAGAATACTGGCATACTTATAAGGCACAAAGGCAGGATATCTTTGACGGTGGAAGAGCCCCTGCCTGAATCGCTAGCGTTCATCATATGCGCTGCTGCTGACCTATGCTGTTAGGTTACATAATCCCCCTGGTTCTGGCAAGGTAGACAAGACTACTGCTGCTGGACTGGTACCTAGGTACCCCCGCCTGTAGTAGGTACCTACCATAAACAGTACCTAGTGTACTATTTGACCCTGAGCTGCATCAACAATTTTTCGGAGGGACAGCAGCTCTTCTAGCATCGAAGCGACCCCACGCGTCCACACGTCCAAGCAATCTGCATACAACCACCTAAACCTCGACCACCGCACCTGACTCTGGCCACCTTCCACCCTCCTCCCCTAACCTTAACCTCAACTCCCTTAATCTCTACCACTTCCCGACTCCCAATATGTCTTTCGGTGGGCAGACACCCACGATTATTGTCCTCAAAGAGGGTACGTTGCCCCTCCATCCCTCCATCACCGCCTGCGCTTCCTCCTCCCCCCCAACGCCCCTGAAGCTACACCTATACCTTCGCTGGCAAGCAATCACATGAAGGGCCATCGCTAATCACTACTGCGCAACCCAGGCACCGACACCTCCCAGGGCAAGCCTCAGATCGTTTCAAACATCAACGCCTGCCTGGCGGTCCAGGCAACGATAAAGTCGACCCTCGGCCCCTATGGCGGTGACCTGTTGATCGTGGACGAGAACGGCAGGCAGACCATCACCAACGATGGCGCGACAGTCATGAAGCTCCTGGACATTGTCCACCCCGCCGCGAGGATCCTGGTCGACATCGCGCGGTCACAAGACGCCGAGGTGGGAGACGGCACGACCTCGGTCGTCGTGCTGGCGGGTGAGATCCTGAAGGAGGTCAAGGAGCACGTGGAGCAGGGCGTCAGTTCACAGACCATCATCAAGGGCCTGCGGAGGGCATCCCAGATGGCCGTCAACAAGATCAAGGAGATCGCCGTCAGCACGGAAGAGGCGAACCACAGGGACACGCTGGCCAAGCTCGCGGCCACGGCCATGACCAGCAAGCTGATCAAGCGGAATACGGGGTTTTTCACAAAAAGTAAGCATGTTGTCGGTTTGCATGAACGCATGGCACGGCACAAGTACACAGCTTGTGGCGGGGGCGGCCGCAGCGAGCTCTTGCTAACATGAATGACTGCCTAGTGGTTGTCGATGCGGTCCTGACCCTCGACCAGGCCGACCTCAACGAGAAATTAATAGGAGTCAAGAAGATCCCCGGCGGCTCCCTCACCGAGTCCCTCTTCATCAACGGTGTCGCGTTCAAGAAGACCTTCTCCTACGCCGGCTTCGAGCAACAACCCAAGTCCTTCACCAAGCCCAAGATCGTCTGCCTCAACGTGGAGCTCGAGCTCAAGGCCGAGAAGGACAACGCCGAGGTGCGCGTCGAGCAGGTGTCCGACTACCAGGCCATCGTCGACGCCGAGTGGCAGATCATCTTCCAGAAGCTCGACGCCGTGGCCAAGACGGGCGCCAAGGTCGTCCTGTCCAAGCTGCCCATCGGTGACCTGGCCACCCAGTTCTTCGCCGACAGGGATATCTTCTGCGCGGGCCGCGTCGCCACCGAGGACATGGAGCGCGTGGTCCAGGCCACGGGCGCCACCGTCCAGTCGACGTGCTCCGACATCCGCGCCGAGCACCTCGGCACCTGTGACAGCTTCGAGGAGCGCCAGATCGGCGGCGAGCGCTTCAACTTCTTCGAGGGCTGCCCCGAGGCCAAGACGTGCACCCTCGTGCTCCGCGGCGGCGCAGAGCAGTTCATCGCCGAGGTCGAGCGCTCCCTGCACGACGCCATCATGATCGTCAAGCGGGCCATCCGCAACCGCACCATCGTGGGCGGCGGCGGCGCCACCGAGATGGAGGTCTCGGCCTACCTGCACCGCTTCGCCGACAAGAACGTGCCCCACAAGCAGCAGGCCATCATCAAGTCGTTCGCCAAGGCCCTCGAGATCGTGCCCCGGCAGCTGTGCGACAACGCGGGCTTCGACGCCACCGACATCCTCAACAAGCTGCGCGTCGAGCACCGCAAGGGCAACACCTGGGCGGGAGTCGACTTCACCGACGAGGGCGTCGCCGACATGATGGAGAAGTTCGTCTGGGAGCCCGCCCTGGTCAAGGTCAACGCCATCCAGGCCGCCACCGAGGCCTCCTGCCTCATCCTCGGCGTCGACGAGACCATCCGCAACGAGGAGAGCGCGCAGCCCCAGGCGCCTGGTAAGCCCCTGCCACCGGGTGCTGCGCAGAGGGCGCTGAGGGGACGGGGTAGGGGTATGCCCAGACGGTAGATGTTGTCTGGGGAGGGAAATGGAACGACAGTAGGAGGGTCTGGATGGGAGTCGATGGAATGAGATGGCGGATGCATGTCCATACTGTACAAGCTATGATACCTAGTCCGGCGTCCATAGACAGAAAATGAAAGGAGCAAAGCGAGAGAGCGAGAGATAGGACGAGTATCCAAAAGGGCCTGCGAGTCCAAGTTTAATCAATGTTAGTCTCAATGCCTGTCATAATTGTTCCCGTCGACACGCCAGTGTCAAGAACGGAGAGGATGAAGCAGAGTTATTCCTATGATGATCCTTGGGATAAACGCTATTACTAGTAGCTGGAGCCAGGAGGCACACCACAACAACCAGGGTGGAACACCATGTATGCAATTGGTAAAAATCGGATATATGCTTATGAACAGCAGCAGCAAGCTACATTCCGTATACGGGTCTTTCTTCCATAGTAGTCAAACTGTCCCTGTCCCGCATTGCACTAAGTATGTATGTAGCTACAAGCATCCCCAAGTAAAAACAAATCCGGAACAGAGAGCTGCCAGTGTAGGGAAGACAAAAAAAAAAAAGAACCAAACCATCAACACAACCATCCGTCGCTAGGGAGTGCAAGTGGGGGGCGGGCGCGCGCGTTGCAATGGGTAGGAGGAAGGAAAACCAAAAACAGCGAAAAATTTGGAAATGTAAGAAGAAGAAAAAATTGAGAACCACCACCGGGAGGTCTAGATATTGCCCACAAACGCCCCCCCCCCCCGCCGTCCCTTTCTTTTGTCATGACCAGCAAACGAAAGAGAATGACCGAAACCTGGCCAAGAGATAGATAGATATTTCCAAGATCGACAGAGAAGAGAAAAGGAAAATAAAAGGAAATACGGGGGGAACAAGAAGATTGAAGATAGGAGATACTGAAAAGTAAGAGATGCCAGGCGCCAGGGATCCCAAATCCAGAAACCGACCCCCTTCCAGAACATCGTACAGATGTCGTATCCGTTGTGTACCTCACTACCCAGCTTCCCACCTATTAGATGAGATAATTGTTTGTTGTGCTCCAATCCATCCAACCAACCTCCCGGCGTCAAAGGCTAGCTCGCTCGCTCGCTTCGCATGCAAGCACACGCTCATGAACAGACCGAACCACCTCTTGATCGATCAAACCAGCCCGTTCTCGACAAAATTATCATCTATAAAAATAAGATCCTCCAACCACTCGTCCCCAGGCGGCCCGCAGAGCATATTCTCACCGTCGCCATTCTCACTTATGCCGATGGAACTCGAAGGCATGGGCGAGGGGCTTAACTCGTCCTCCAGCGGACTGGGGGCCAGCCCGCCCGAGTTTGACGTCAGCTCCCCGTCGCGCGTCGGCGAAGGGCTCGGGATCAGATCCGGCGGGGCGATGTGATCCATGTCCATCCTCGGAAGACCCTCCATCCCGGCCATCTCGATCTCGTCGGTGTTATCGTCGTTCCTCCCGCCCATGGGTGCGAAGCTAGCGCTGGGATTATTGACACCGCTGAGTTGTGGTGGCTGGCTCAGGTCGCTAGCCGTTATCGACGGGGGTGCGTTGGTGTCGCCAGCGGCGCCAGGGACGCCGTCCTTCTTCTTCGGCGGCCTGCCCCGTTTGGCGGGCTCCTTGCGCTTCGTCCCGGGCGGCGCGCCGATGCAGTTGCCCCTACCCTGGTGTCGATGTAGGGCGTCCGCGCGGCTGAAATCCCTGCCACACGGGCAGACCCACTTCTTGTGCACATCATGAGTCCTTAAATGCCGCCGCAAATCGTGAGACCGCACGAACAACTTCCCGCAGAACCCGTAGGGACATTTGTACTGCCGGTCGTCCAGATGCGTCTGGATGTGCGCCTTGCAGTTCTCCTTACGCTCGAAGAACTGCGCACAGGTCTTGTCCTCGCTGGTGCCGTCCTTGTTGGTCACCTGGTCGATCCACTTGCAGATGTACTTCTTGGTATTGTCGGCTCCCTGCGAGGATGATGGATTGGATGGGTCAGTCTCGCCGATGAGAGCGGAGATCTCTTCCGGCTTGACACTCGACTCGACGCGGTATTGTTCCATATCCCCGTCGGCGAGGCTGACTACGCTGTTGATGCTTGCCAGGCTCTGCGTCCGCTGGTGGGCGCGCATCCGACGGCTCGGGCTTGGGGAGTTGCGGCTGCGGCTGGGAGAGCGGGCGCCCTGGGGTGTCTGGATCGGACGAAGGTCTGGTGCATTCTGGAGTAAGTTGTGGCCGTGTGGGGTGGGATGAGAGAAGCTCTGGCGTGTCGGTGATGGCTCGGGCGTCCGGATGAGGGATTCCAATATCGCCTCTCGGGTTGGCGAGGGTTGTCTTGCATTGATGAGGGATTCTTTCAAGGGGTTGCTATGGTGCGTCGGTGAGGGTTCGGGAGTCGAAATGTGGAAGTCTCTAAAGCTTTCCCTCGTCGGAGAGCGTTGCGGTGTGCCGAGGTAAGAGTCCATCCGGGAACCATGCTCGGATATGGGAGTGAAATTGGGATGCAGCGGGGATGCTGTCCTGGATGGCAGCAGGGACTCTGGCGGCCCAGAGAAGGGGTTCTGGTGGAAGGGGAAGCCGGTCTGCCGTGGTGATGGCAGAGGGGAGTCAAACAGGGACCCGTTCAGAGGCCCGCCAAAGCCGCCAGACAG